CTTTCACATAAGATGGTCCCCAAATCTTGCCATTAACAATTCCAAAATTTGAGAAGTCTCCAATATTTTCATGGTATACCAGGGACTAAATCCAGGGGCCAGCCTTTTAAAATATTTTATTCTGATATAGGGTCTCACTAAATTGCTTCAATGGGCAATCTTTCTGCCTCAGTCTCCCAAAACAGCTGGGATGACAGGTGTGCTCTGTTGCACCTGGCTCCTCCATTTTCTCCACTCTGCTCCAGCCTGCCTCCCTTATCTAGGTCACTGCAGTAGCTTCCTAATTGGTCTTGCCTGTCCTCTTCTTTGTATGGGGCCATCTCTAACAATGCGCTGCACTGATTTTCTGAAACCCAAGTCTGAGCATGGCACGGAATGAATACCATTCATTCCTAGGTCTCCACAGTGGAAGACTTACGTGTGGCAAGAGATAATCTGTCAAAATTGATGTCCAGCTTTTCTGCCTACTTAAATGACAAGTGTCATCTCCACGTACCCTGCACGTCAAGCCATCTCACGGACTCTTTCAAGACTCTGGGCCTGCACACTTCTCTCCCTCTGCTGCAGGGCCTTTGTCCACTCTCAGTAAAATTCTGTTCTTTCCTAATAATCCAGCTTAATCATGACAGCTCCTTTGACACCTTTCTGCTGCCTGCCAGGCAATCAGCCTTCTCTATCTACATGGCTAGTCACGTGCCTACTTAGAACACTTATTACACTATTTATTTATTTGCTGCCTCTCTAGCCCTCCCAAGGGTATGAACTGTATCTTACATTCAGAGTCTTAGGGCACAGAGTAGGCACAAAGAAATGCTTGTTGAATGAATGAATGAACAAAATTTACAGGCCAGGATTTGGAGCTTTACAGACCAAGGTATGAAGTCCGACTTATCAGCTGCCAGATTCTGGACAAGTTCCCCTCTCTGATTCTACTCTTTCCTGTAAAATGAAGATGTTGTAAGAGGTTCCTTTCAGGGGAATTTTCCAGAGATCAAGAAAGGACAGTATTCTAGGAACCTACTGGCCTAAATGCAAATGAAGAAAAAGAAGAAAAGCCAGGTATCACTTGAATATTTTCCAGGGAACCTAGGGTAGGTGTGTGTTCCAAGAACATGAGTTTCTCAAAACGTCAGCCGACTGACAAGCCCAAGGCAGGGAAGGAAGGAGCACCGTGCTGCGGCTCCTATTCCTGCCTCAGGCCCTAAACTCTTAGCTTAGTTCACATCTGGCTTTGGTGTGGTGGATAAAGGATGGTCCAGAAAAATCTGAATTCCTGTTTTGGTATGACCCCTAACAGAGCAGGGCATATCAGCTCTCTGAACCACATTTCTCCTCAAATAAAGAGTTAGGTTATGGTATGGTGATGCATGCCTGGAATCCCAGCAACTCAGGAGGCTGAGACAGGAGGATTGCAAGTCCAAGGCTAGCCTTAGAAATTTAATGAGACCCTAAGCAATTTTGCAAGACCCTGTTTTGAAATAAAATTTTTTTAAAAAGGGGCTGGGGATGTGACCCAGTGGTAAAATCCCTTTGGGTTCAATCCTCATTTCCCCCAAAACAACAATAATAACTACAATGAGTTGGGCTAGATACTCTACAGAGGCTTTGAGAATTGAGAGAATGCTGATTTTCTCTGTCCTACTAGTTAATTTTAATATCTCACCGTCACTAAGTTTTGCCAGCTAACTTTAACCCATCATGCTCAGCGCACATCACAACCTACCAGTGGTATTGCAACATCCTCATAAGGCAGCTTGTCTTCTCGCCAAGCATCGTCAATCAAATCCAAGATCCTTCCATCTCTCTGGACCTCACTGTCCATTTTCCCGTAGCTTTGATTTTGTCAGATCTATAAACCAAAGAGGTTATTTCTTCAACATGAAGACTGAAGCTATGGTATAATTCAGTACTAGAATTCGTCAGGCTTTTTAGCCTGGACCTGTTTCTGGGCACGACATCACCTCAAGAAAGGCTCATTTTGTATGGATCACGGTTCTTTCCCCACCTCAGCTGACAATTGTTTTACAGTGAATATAGGGCGGACATAGCCCAGTGTCCCAGAGTCTGACAGGAGGCCAACACATCTCTAGAGAAAGCCCTTAAATACAATACACCCAAATATAGCTTTTCTTTAACTTTCACATTCATCTTTCCCTGTTCATGATGTCTTTGATGAGTCTCTGATTCCTGCCTGTCAAGTCTCCTCTCAGCAGCTCTAGCTCTTCCTGTACTGTTTTTATACAAGTTAACATGAGTTAACACTGAGCTGGGCTAAGCAAAGTGACCAGCCAGAGGCCTGACAAAATTCCTCATAAGAACAATGAGGGTAGGTGAGTTTGAAAAGAAAAGTGCACCCAGGCTGAGTTCCTGGTGAATGACAGTGGTCAAACCCCATGATGCTCCAGTTTCTGCTTCTCTTTAGCATTCCTTATCTGATTCTTTTTTTTTTTTTTCTTGGTACTGGGGATTTAACCCAGCGGTGCTTTACCACTGAGTTATAACCCTAGCTCCTTTTTTTTAGTTGTCAATGGATCTTTTGTTTCACTTATTTATATGTGGTGCTGAGGATAGAACCCACCAGGGCTTCACACATGCCTGGTAAGTGCTGTACCACTGAGCCGCAATTCCAGCCCATAACCTCAGCCCTTTTAATTTTTATACAGGGGTCTCACCAAGTTGCTTAGGGCTTCACTAAGTTCTCAGGCTGGAGTCAAACTTGTGATCCTCTGCTTCCGCTTTCCTGAGTTGCTGGAATTATAGGTGTGCACATCCGCAACTGTGCCTGGCCCAACTGATTCTTAATGCTGCACTCCCTTTGATTCCTGGACGGAGGGGTCAAGATGCTCCTTGACCATGGCTGATTCTTCATTTTTTTTCCTCTGGAACAGTTGTGACCTAATAGGCCGGGGGAGGGGGGGGGTTGGGTAGTATTTCTAGGTTCCCTATTTCTAAGTCTGGGCCCTGCCTCCCTATCAAAGCCATCACCCTACTGTGCTCCCGGCTACAAAGTGTCAATCTTGAGGTCCTGGAAACCCTTTGCACCAACAGCACCCTCAGTTACTCTTAGTTTCTGAGACTATGAACTCATGTGAAAAACAATCTTTTTAAAAAAAATATTTATTTTTTAAATTTTAGTTTTAGGTGGACACAATATCTTTATTTTACATTTATGTGGTTCTGAGGATCCAACCCAGTGCCTTGTGCATGCTAGGCAAGTGCTCTATCACTGAGCCCCACCCTCAGCCCTACTCTTTGTGAGTAGAATTCAACTGTGTCACACAGATCTGTACTTCTCTCCAATAGTACAATTGTAAGATGGTTCTAATGCCTGGTAATAACTATACCCAAGTTAGGGTGGGGAAGGGTTTTTACTCTCAAGATAAGGATTCAGGTAAAACTTAAGCAAAAGATACCCACTACTTCTGCCACCAGTGAACCAAATGAGATCTTAATACTTCTTGGAATTAACCCAGAGTCCCAAGTTTTCAATTCCACAAGTATTTCAACAAAACTGGCACAGGTGCATTAAAATGGGTTGGAAATCATAATCTAGAGCTTGTATATTTATATGTATATAAATCTCCTATATATTCCATATTTATTTTCTAATGCTCTAATCATTCACCTATTACTTTATCAAAAGAACAGAACTCTGAAGACGTATTATTTCAAAAGTCACCCAAAGTGTTGTATTTTTTTGTGCAATTTAAATTTTTATAGGTATCTGGGATTATGGCATTTAATGGGTTAACCCACTACTACCCAGTGACTATTTCAATAGTACCTGAGGGATCCTTTGTGTAGGAAATTTACAAACAGTCTCTGCCTGTCAGCTTAGTTATCCTTTTGGAGTCTCTGTTCTACAAAAGCTCTCCATTACCTAATCTACTCCTATGTCCTTTCTGCTTTGTACCCTGGGATCCCCTTCACACTTTCCTCTGCTGATCCTTCCTGGTCCACAGAGATATCACCTTTATTTAAAATGTGTTCTCCAATCGCTGCAGCTTCAGCAGGGTTTCTGTCCTGAATGTGATCCATTAAAGAAGTCTTGTTCCAATGGGATCCATTAAAGAAGTCAGCTCCGTGACCAAGTAGTTTCACCTCTGATTGTTATGTCTGTTTCAAACAGATGATCCCCTAACAGATATTCCCACAATTTGGCCTCAATCCCTTTTCACCTGTTCCTCTTTATAACACCTCCAACCCTGTCACTATTTCCAGCTTCTGCACTTATCCCTACCCCCGCGCCCCGCCCTTCCATCTCTTCCAAATTCAACGCAGGCTTAAGCTCTTTGGGGGTTAGGCCCATTTCCAGGGTCAGACACCAAAATGCTTTGCCTTTAACGGGCTGGAAAAGCAGGAAGCAATAAACAGGCAATGCCCGGCTCACAGCCGCTGTCCCAAGCACTTGCCATACAGTATGGTCATTCCCAGTTTTCTGAACAAACTTTTATTACACTTGTGAGTCTCAATGTCTGCCATAATMCCCCCCCCCCCCGTCCCGTGTTTCCGGCTAACATCAGTGTAGAAATCATTTCCGAGGTTGCCTTCTTCAGGGGGCGTTCTCCAAACCTCAGGGTGAGCGGGGTGCCAGAACCTAGTTCTCCACTGGTCCCACAGATCCCTGGGCGCAATGCATGGTACCAACTGGGGAAATAGGCACACTGCTCAGAGGTCTTTCCAAACATGCAATGGGAGCATCCCCAGGAACAGGGGCTCACTTTGTCCTGCTCTGTGTTTTACATGATTGTAAGCATGTATTTCTACGACCCAAACACGCAAGGCCGTTCCGTTTCTAGAATTGACCCTCGCAGGTTACCACCGTACGTACGAGCGCGTAAAGCCGCCCACCGGCTCCACCCCTTCCGGTCCGGGGACTGGATATACCAAATGTGGAAGCAAAAAGGGGGAGGCTAGCATCGCCACTGGAAGYCCCTTTCCACCCGACACAGCGTGCAGCAAGGAAAATGGCTCAAAGGGTGAATGAGGGCCTCGGCCTCGTCCACGTCCACTGGGACTGAGGAAAAGTCCGAAGCTAAGGAACCAAGGCGTTCCTGCCTCTCCAAGAAACAGGCTGGGGACGCGAGGATCCCTTACCTTAGGCAGGCCGCGGCAGCACCCTCTACTTCCAGACCACGCCCTCTGACCACGTGATCCACGGGCTCTTCTCTTAGATCCCCGGATGTGGGTGAACCCATTTGCTGGCGCGGAGGGGAAGTCAGGAAGAAGACATTTTTTCAATTACAAGTGAGGAGKCAGTGGGCGGAACGAACGTACCGACGCCGAGGCTGGACGTAAGGTTGGCGGCGACGCACGTGCGCGCCTCCGGCCCGAGGTAACGGCGGGAAGGCTCGGGGGCGAGCTTCCTGCGGCCCTGTAACCGCTTGTGTGCACCGAGGGCCAGCGAGGGGCGGGCGACTCCTGGTCCGTAGCGACGGCCACGCTGGCCGCCGTGGTGCCGCTGGCCTCCCTACAGCATGGCTCGCGGCTGGATCCCGCAGCAGCCCGCAAGCCGCCAGGCTCGCTGCTGCTGGCCCGAATCCACGCCGGCGCTCCGCCCCTTGGCCTCTCCGCCGCCGCTGCTCCGCGGCTCCATCTAGACGGGCCTGGCCCCGCGCGGTGCGCCGCTCGGTCCCGCCAGGTGCCGGGCCGGCGGGAGGGCCAGCACAGGGTGCGGGGTGGGAGAGCTGCTTCTAGGCCCCCTGGTCCCCATCAGAGCCAGCCCCTAAAGGGTCGGGACCTGCTGCAACCCCATTGCCTAGGCTGCAGGCAGCATCTAGCTAGATCTCTGGCTCTCTGGGGACTTTTTCCATTTACCGCAAGTGATATTGGCTCCTTTCTGATGGGGCTTTAAAGTTAGTAATTTTTAAAAAAAAGAATGGAGTGGCTTAAGCGTAAATATTAGTGCAGAAGATGCGGAAATATGGCAGAATTGAAGAGCTTTGATACCTCCTTGCATACAAAATGAGGGATGGGAAAAAATGATAAGTGAAGGTTTAAAGGGCAGTTTCTTGATAAACCGTGAATCATGAAGATGCTTGAGGACAGTTAATCTAGGCTCAGAATCTAGTTTTTCTTGCATCCCTTACAGCATCAGGGGAGTAAAGATGAGTCTGATAGTCTAGCTTTCTTTTATAGTTGCATTGCAGTACACTTATTTTTTTTTTAAATATATATTTTAGTTGTAGATGAACACATTTCCTTTATTTTATTTATTTTTTATGTGGTTCTGAGGATTGAACCCAGTGCTTCTTCACATGTGTGAAGCAGGCGCTTTACCACTGAGCCACAGCCCCAGCTTGCATTACAGTACACTTATTTACAGATTTTCCTGAGCCTTGTCTGATTACTTACACCGACAACCTACCAACTCCACCCGCCAGGGTTGATACCAGGAGTGCTCTCTCCCACAGAACTATATATCCAGTCCTCCACTTTTTTTTTTTTTTTTTGGTGGTTATTGTTTGCTTTGTTTTGAGACAGGGTCTTGCTAAGTTGCCCCGGCTGGCATCCAACCTGGGATCCTCCTGCCTTAGCCTCCTGAATTCGCTGGAATCACTGCAAGGCACCACATTTTATGTCTTTAATAGAGCAGTATACAATGCCCTATATTTATAGTTAGATGCCCTGTATGTATACAGTTGCTTATATACTTGGGTTTTGTTTTATTTTTATATGAAGAGGAGACCAAGGATCATGGACTTCACATTGCCTTCAGATATTTACATTTATATTTAAGCTGTAGCTTAATGACACAATAAAGTGTATATTTCCTTATTTGGAATGAAGTACCATCTTGAGACTGATTTTTATCCTGACCTCCTTGCCTTTTGACTCTCATTATCAGTAATCAGTTTGATAAAAGACACTGTGAAACTTAAGTGGGTTAGATAGTTATAAACATTCAGTCACAGTGTCCTTCACAAGATATGTAGATTCAAGTTTTAAAAGTTATTTGTAAAAATTGTACATGTTAATTGTACTGATGCCATTTTCTTCCTATTGAAAAGACCTTTGCTTAGTTGTCATTCCTGTCCTCATGCATGTTGTGGCAGGTGAGGACAACATCTGTGGTCCATTCTATCATAGCCAAGTTTCTCCTACTTCCAGCTAGGTTTGAATTTTTTTTCAATTTTTTAAAATCACCATAGTACTATCATTATACAAATTAGTGAACATTCTGTCAATATCCAGTCACGGGACAGATTTTCTCAACTGGCCTAAAAGTGCTTTTACATTAGCTTGTTCTAAACAAAATCCATCTGCTGTGTTAGGGTTGATACAACCTTTACCTGGGCATGGTGGCACAGGCCTGTAATCCCAGCAGTTTGGGAGGCCTCTGAGGCAGGGGGGAAATTGCAAGGTCAAAGCCAGCTTCAGCAATTTAGGGAGGCCCTAAGCAACTAAGGGAGATCCTGTCTCAAAAAATAAAGGGCTGGGGATGTGGCTCAGTAATTAAGCACCCCTGGGTTCAGACCCTGGTTACAGAACAAAACAAAAACACCCTTTAAATCTTTCAATCTGCAGCAGTTTCTTCAGCTCCCCTTTTCCCCCTTACCATTTTAAATTTAACTGATTGTACCACATAATATTTTTTAATATGTAACTATTCCCTTTGTGTCCTCTCTGCCAGTGGTTAGATCTAGAATTGCACTGTTCAATATTGTAGCCATCAGCTAGTTGTAACTATTTAAGTTAATAAAATGAAACAGAAGTTTGGCTTTCTAGTTACATTACCTACATTTATTAGTTTGTCTAGTGGTTTACTGTTTGAACTGTGCAGATATAAAATAATTCTATGATTTCAGAAAGTTCTGTTGAACCACTGTAATTAGAATCTTGATTAGATCCAACTTTTTTTTTTTTTTTTTGATTGGGGCAGTGTAGGAACATTTCATATTATGACAATTACTATCTTTTGCATTATCAGGGAGGCACATAATGTCTGAGTTTTCTCCTTTTGTGATGTTAAGATTTGAGCTGTGTAGTGGGTTCTGGTATTGCAAGCTAAATCCATCCACCATGAAATTATCCAAGAGGCTGTCACTTAATGGGAAAATTCTTTCATTGATTTAGATTCCCTGAATCCATTAGATTTCCTAATCCATTGTATTAGGAGTGGCAAAGTGGTGATCTTCTAATTCTGTCGTTCCCTCAGTATCTATTAGCTGGGAATCTTTTATGAAGAACTTGCCCTCATTAGCAATTTGCCTGAAATATAGTTTGTTTAGGAAAGGCCAGGAAAAATTCTTAATTTTTTTCCATCTATTTTCAGACTACAGTAATGAGTTGGTGGCCTAGCAACCTCCAAAGGTAACCATGCCTTCTTAAATTATTATCATGAACTTATAGACTAATAATAAAATAATATATTTTATTTAAGCATATATATATATATATATATATATATATATATATATATTTTAATACTCACATTGTTTCCTTATTGACTAATGGGAGCACTTTTAAGTTGGCTCCTATTCCTTTTGGTATGACCAGTAGTTTTTATGATTTGCTTTTTGGTAAAATATGTTTCTGTCTCATAAATCTCTGGCTTCCTGAAAGCCCTGAAATAGGAAATATTTTTTTTTTTAAAAAAGGAGAAATATATGGAGTTCACACTGTTTTCAACTTAACTTTAATTTTGTGGATTCTTAAAACATTTTGTAATTTTTTTCCTCGTTTGTTGAGAATCTTATGCCTAATGCCATTAATATAATCACTTTTTTCCCTTATCCTATATATAATGATTTAAAATGAATGGTACTATTTTTATTATTAATAATGATTCCTAATAGTACTTAGAATTTCTTTGCAGTTCCTTTTTATCCTTAATGTATATGCCACTAAGGATATATATGTAGTAAAATTATTGTACTTTAAAGGCATATGAAGTTATTCATTATGTGGTTTAACTGTCAACTTGATTATCTAATTGATTTATTTTATTTTGTTTATAGTTTTTCAGTACTACTTTTTAATTCTTGTTTTATTATGTGTAAAATATCAGCATAGCAGTTCCTATAAAACAAGTACCTAAAACAAAGTTTTTACAGAGAAGTTCAGTTTTCATCCTAGTTTTTCTACCTCAACTACTTTCTCTCTTTATAGGTCTCATTTTTACTATCCTTCCATTAAAAAAAAAATGTACATAAGAGCAAAATGTGCGTGTGCACACACGCACAGGCGCGCATACACTTCATCCTTCCTTAGTTACAAGGTATATTTAAATATGCTGTTTTGTGTCTTGCTTTTCCTACCCAATAGCATTGTAGCTCACTTCATAGAAGTATTATCCCTTTTTTCACTTCCATAATATTTTATTAATGGGATGGATATTCATTTGGTCTCTCTTGATAAGCATGTGTGTTTCCTATTACAAATAGAAGTTCATGGATATCCTTCTCTGTATGTTAATTTGGATTTTGCCAGTGTGTCTTTGGGATGTATTTCTAGAGGCAGTATTGTTGGATCATAGGGTAAATATATATCAGTTAATATTGCCAAAATCTGCCCTGTAGTAATTATGCAATTTGCTTTCCTCCCTACAATGTATACAAGTACCTGTTTTCCTTATCATTAACGTATATTGTCAAACTTGTAATTTTTGAAGAAAAGGTAAGTTAGTAAAGTTTTAATTTATATTTCACTTATATATCTTTTTATATATGTAAGGCCATTTTTATGTACTATTTCTTCATATCTCTTGCCCATTTTTCTGTAGATTTATAGGTAACTACGTTATAATTTCATGTTAGTGGTATAAATTTTTTCCATACATTTTTATAAGCTATTTATATAATTGGGTAATTAATCCTTTGTGATAAAACTTTTAAGTACTGTTATAATTTCTCTTTTAACTTTGCTTATTTTTTTCCATGTAGAAGTTTATTTTTATGTATTTCTATTTTTGAAACTTAATTCTTTTTTTTTTTTTTGGTGAGAAATTTCTCTGACATCTTAGCTACTATTTTTTCGCAGTTCATTTTAAGTAGGAACCTTTCTGGGAAATGGTAGATACTATTGATTGTTCATTGGAGAAGCTATAGTTTATTAGCCATAGTCCTTCTGACATAGCCATAGGTCTTTGTAATTCAAGGGACACCAAGGTAGATAAGGATAGAGCCTCCTTTAAGCTAGGCTATGTCCTTTCTCTTTGTATACTCATAATTCTAGCCATAGCTTTTTCTTCCTGTGTTCCGTTTTTGTAAGTAATTTAATTTTAGACATACTCTGGATGTTTTTTTCTGATTTGTAAAATGAAGAGGTTAAATTAGAGGCCTAAAGTGCTTTCTGGTTCCTAAATTCCAGTATGTTAATGAGTTCCAAAGATCTGCTTATTATCAGATATCCTATTTATATCTTGTTTCTCTAAGATTTAAAGTGTTTTTCCTCCTGCCTAGACTTGATTTAAAAAAAAAAAAATCTGTATTTCCTTAAAAGCATTCAATTCCAGATTTTACTGATTTATAATAGCCTTCATTCCAAAGGCAAGTTCAAATTAATAAATTCTGCTTGTTTGTATCCTATTCTAACAGCAGGCATAAGTATAGTTGTATCAGTTGTAGTGCAACACAGTTTCTATTTTACTACATCAGCATTTCAGGCTACTAGCAAGGAGTAGCAGATTAGGAAACAGTTTTTACTTACATTTGTATTTAGTATTATGAACACAGAATATATAGTTTTACATAATTCTATGTGACATGGCATAGGCAAAGAAGAAATCAGTGTGTAGAGTTTAATGAGGTTAGATTGGTTAGGAAATCAGCTATGGAAACTTAGATCATAAAGGTCTGCAGAAAATCTGAGTCCTTGCTGTTTACCTGACCCTAAGGATGAGAACCAGTCATGTTTGATGGTGTCTCAAGTAGATGTTGAAGGTATTGACAAGGAAACACATCACACATTAGCAAGTTTATTTTCTTCAGAGGATGTTTTTGGTTCCCTGTCTCCTTTCTTTAAAACAGGGATGTCTTTGTCCATTTCTTAGGCCATTTATTTTCATTTCTGCAGTGGCGGTTTTCCTTATGAGTACTGTTACTTGATTGTACTGCTGCCACCTGGTGATCTTGAGGTGACATCATGCCTAAGTTTAATTTGATTTCTCACCAAGAAGACACCATTAAAGTAAAAGAAGATATGTTGATGTATTCTAAAATCTGGAATATTGTAAAATATAAAAAGATTGTACATGAGTTGGGACTTGAGAGTCTATTGTCCAGGACTAGAATTCACAGTTTTATCATGCTCAGGTTATTTAACCCTCCAAGCCTCAGTTTCCTCAAAGTAATAGTATCTATCTGAGTAATGTGAGGATTGAGTTAGACAAAGTGTAGAAGGCTGCTAGGATGTGAGCATTCAGTTACTTTAAGCATCTATTATTATTAAGTAATAATGTTATCCATAAAACATATTAATGTATAATATATTGCCAAATATATTACTGTTTAACTGACTTGAGAAAGTATAATTTTAGTAGCAATAAGTTTAATAGCTGTAGTAGCACCTCCCTTAGGAATAACACTTTTCCTATTATATATCTACTAAATATCCATGTGTGGTTGTTAGAAGCATGCTCCTTATAGTGAACATTTAATTGGCTTTTAGATTCTCCATGAAGCAGCTGGAAGAAACCTTGAAGATTATTGTTCATGCCTTTCATTTCAATGGTGTAAAAACTGAATTCTCATTTCACAAACCTAGTTGCAGAACTCTGTAATGCCTCCTAGTTCTCTTAGAATAGACCAAGGAGGCATCTGAGTTGCACTGTAATTTGACTCTTACCATAGTTTGAAAGTAGAATAGAACATGGAAACTTTCTCTTTGAGTTTTTTTTTTTTGTGTGTGTGTGTGTGTGTGTGTGTGTGTGTGTGTAATGCTGGTGAAATGTTTAATAAACCAACTAGAAGAAAAAAACTCCCATGTCATATTTGTGTATGAATAGTTAATTTCCTTTGTTAATACCTTTAGAAATAGATGCAAATAAGGTACAGTGGCTATATTTTCCAATTTTCTCATCCCTTCTGTGTCTCTGGTACACTGGTGCATCCTTCTGCTACTACAATTATCATAGTGGGGAACATTTTTGGTTACTTTTTTTGGTCCCATACTGAACTATTAATTCCTTGGGAAGGTCCTTGTCTTTAATTACTATATATAGAGTACTTGGTATAACACTGAATTATTTGTTGAGTAAAGGAATCTACTTCTTGAAGCAGTGTAATTTTTAGGTGAGGCATTAGGACAAAGGGCAGAACTTCCACATCACAGCACTTGGTTGTTGTCTAATGGCTATAATTTAGGGTCGAGGTTTTGAAGGCTTAAGGAAAGAAAATAGCTTCTAAGGAGTAAAAAGTGATTTGACTTTGAACCTTCTAAAGATTTGTGATAAGAGATGAGAAAGGTACAGCACATTAGCACTTCTGAATTTAAGGATCCTTCCTTTTTTGCTCTCAACTATCTTTTTCTTTTTTCTTTTTCTTTTTTTTTGGTACCAGCCATTGAACTCAGGGGCACTCGACCACTGAGCCACATCCCCAGCCCTATTTTGTACTTTATTTAGAGGCAGGGTCTCACTGAATTGCTTAGTGGCTTGCTGAATTGCTGAGGCTTGCTTTGAACTCAGAATCCTTCTGCCTCAGCCTCCTGAGCTGCTGGGATTACAGGTGTGTGCCACCATGTGGCTTCACCTATCTTTTTCATGTTATGATTTTCCTTTTTATAGCAATCTCTTCTGCCTCCCTTCCCTTTTCTGTAGTCCTCCAGCTAAGGCCTCTAGTTTGCATGAGGTAGGTAGGAAAAGGGAAAGGAGATCAGCCTTATACCACCATATACTATGTGGAAATGCTACCCTGGACTTGAGCTGCATAATAAAATTAGTTTTCTGCCCTTAACGGATGGTCTAGAAAGGAAAAAGGACATGCAAAACATTTATTTTCAACTTTTCTATAATCTGTAACTCCTGTGGGAAAAAACTGGTAAGGCCAAGAGGAAATGCAAAGGAAGGAGAGCCCCTGAAGTTATTTTCAGGGGAGGTGCTCTGGGCCTGTCTTCTCCAGAGTAAGGCTCTCAAAGGTGGACTGGGAGTTTTACCTCGTGCGTTTCACCTTTTTAGTGATTTTTTTTTTTTTTTTAAAGAAAAACAATTCTTTTCCTCTGATGCATATGACCCCACTTATTTTATAAGGTGGTTTGTGACAGTGTCCTGCTGGAAAGACTTTCCTCTTATGATTAGAACCTGGCATAGAACAATGAGGGAGAGTATCAACAGCTCTTATGATTAGAACCTGGCATAGAACAATGAGGGAGAGTATCAACAGCAATTAGGATAAGTTTTTTTTTTTTTTTAATCAATAGTGTGTTTATTCCTAAAAAATAAAAGCGTGATGTTCTTTGCTTCTACAGTCATCTTAAAAGGTACTGAATTTTCTCATCATGCTGTCAATTCACATTCTTAAGTTGAAGTTGGAATGTTAGAACTTAAAATGATGAATTTTCTCATCACTTTCTTCTTTTGATTTTTTTTTTTTTTTTTTTGCCTTTCCAGTTGCCAGAACAAAGGGGATTTGGCGATGGAGGCTTTGTTGGAAGGAATACAAAATCGGGGACATGGTGGGTAAGTTTGCTTTTGAACTTGAGCTTCTCACTACAGTTTAGAAAGCATACTAAGCCATACTGTGCCTTGGGTACAAAAGCAAAAGTGTTTTGCACAAGCTAAGCTGATCCATGTCATGTTCGCAGCATATCTCTTTAGGAGGTTTGTCTCATCTCAGCCATGTGAAGCTAGGCTCTTGCTTTCATTCCAGCAAAAGTAGGAAGTACAGAGGTTTTGGGACCCTAAGATCATATGCTTTTTAAAAAAGCATCAAACACTTAGTGGTTAGAGCTCTCAGTGAACCTTCCTGGAATATCTTTGAATCTAATATATTTATGTCTACTATCTCTGTTTCACCTCTGCAATGTCTGTCATTTCTTGAAATTTGGAAGGATATCAATGAGTTTACAATAATAAGGTAGGTTTCAGTAAGTTTCTAAATAATAAGGTGGGAAGAAATAGTTGAAATAAATCTGGCTCAATGATGAATTTCTTGAAATAGCTCTTAAACTCATATTATCACTTTCCTGCACAATAGCCTGCTTACTTCAAAAGCTTTTTATTTGCTTAGATGAGAATGTGGATAGACTAGTCTGGGTTCTTCCTGAAAGCTTCCCTAAAATATCACAAAATAGTTGTGGAAGTTCATTTCACAGCCCAAATTAAAATAGCAATCTTTTGTTTGGCCAAATGATTTAGGCTTTAGGTTGCTTATTAGAAGAAGGCAAACTGTTTTATGGAATAAACCATCCTAAAATGAACACTAAAAGCAAAACCCAGAAATCCTGTTTTTCTAGTAGTTTGCTGAGTGACATTCTTCTACCTCAGGTAGATTTAATCTGATAAATATATATATATATATTATTATTTTTTTTTTTTAAAGAGAGAGAGAATTTTAATATTTAAGTTTTAGTTTTCAGCAGACACAACATCTTTGTTCGTATGTGTTGCTGAGGATTGAACCCGGGCCGCACGCATGCCAGGCGAGCGGGCTACTGCTTGAGTCACATCCCCAGCCCTCTGTTATATTTTTATATGTGGAAAGAAGGAAAACCACTTGAATGTATGTCTGTGTTCTTAATGTGTTTTTTTTTTTTTTTTATTTAAAGGGCATTCTTGACATCCTGTGAAGCAGAACTACAAGAGCTCATGAAACAGATTGACATAATGGTGGCTCATAAAAAATCTGAATGGGAGGGGCAGACACATGCTCTAGAAACTTGCTTGGACATCCGTGAACARGAACTTAAGACTCTCAGGAGTCAGTTGGATATAAAACAAAAAGAGGTAAAACAATTGATTCTCTTATTTTGATAATTTGACTTTGTTTATTAAACTAATTGTTTATTTAACTATTTCTTAAAGAAAGCATTTGTGTATCAAGTTAGTTTTTTATTCTAATTCTGATGGTATGTTTTAAAAGAAAAACTCATTGTGAAATTTTATAAGAATATTAATAGTTATTTCAAGGATCATTTTTATCCTGTTTACATTTATACTTAATATGTATATAATTAAGAAAATATAAAAGAGTATCACATGATCATTGTATAATTGTCATCATTAAAATTATTACATGTTCATATTAACATCACTGAATTGAATGAAGTTGTTTTGGACTTCATTGTATGACTAGTTAAAAAAAAAATTAAAGTTGATCCCAGGTTCACTAGTTTGCCTCTTGTAGTCTTAAAAGAAAATTCTTTAAAAAATTATGCTTACCTTTAATTTTTTTTTTTTTTTTTTAGCTATAGGTGGACTCAATACCTTTATTTATTTTTATGTGGTGCTGAAGATTGAACCCAGTGCCTCACATATGGTAGCAAGCGCCCCACTACTGAGCCATGACTCCAGCCCCCCAAAATTATATTTATCTTTTTTGGAAATTAAGAGAAAAGAAGGAAAATAGGAAAACAAAAATTATTTACAGTCCTACTATCTACTGATACTGGTAATTTTGGGGGAAAGTTTAATAATATTTGCTGATTTATTTCTCATAATTTAATGGGTACAGTAGGAAGAAGTGCACTAAGTATTGGAAGGAAAACCAGAAGCATTTATAAGTCCAAATATTATCTCTGAGTTTCTGGCATGAGTGTCAGTCTCAAAATGACTGAGAGAGTTGTAGGCAAGCAGTAATCCCAAGCCCCATTCTGTTGACCTATGCTAGCTACTATAGGGTCACTACTTGTCAAGGTTGTTGTCAGCTTACTCAGGTACACTTCCATGAATGGCACACATTGAGTTGTGATTTGGGTGATGACACTTACCAAGAGGGGCTAGGGTTGTGGCTCTGTGGTAGAGTGCTTGCCTAGCATGTGTGAGGTACTGGGTTCAATTCTCAGCACCACATATAAATTTAAAAAAAGTCCTTTGACAACTAAAAAATATTTTTAAAAAAGTAATTTAGAAATGCTTCATGTAAAATGGAAAGGGCTATGCTTGATAAAAATATTTCATACTTTTCAAGAGAATCTTTAATAGTTGGCTGGCACTTTGGTTCAAAGCAATGCATAAGTTGTTTATTTTGTTAGAAACCTATTAAAGAAATTCCTGTATTTGTGATTATGAGACTATTTAGTCACTCTGAGGCTAAGTTTGAACTTGTTCACCTGGCTTGGTTTGATGGATATTAGTGTCATTGTTTACTGATTTGTAGAGAAGTTAAAGGACTGTATAGATAGATTAGATGGTAAGTGTTTGAAGATTATAAATTTGGCATGGGGAACATATTAAGAAATTTAGAATTGCAGCTTTCTGGTCAATTTCCTCATTGATTGGAATGCATAAAATTGAGTAAATTTCTAGAAGTAATGTACTGTTATCAAATCCTAATAACAATGGACATCTATTCTGTGGAGTTTGTGAAATTGTGTTGTGTTAAAACACTTCTTTCAAATGTATCATAAACTGATTTGAGCAGTACATGATATAAGAACTACAAATTAAAACTTAAGTTTTTGTCATTTCATTTGTTGGAAAGGTACAGGGCTAGGAACAGTCTTATGGTAAAAACTAGTGCTACTCAAATCACAGATCCATGAGATAAAAAGCTTGCATAAAATGTAAATCAGTCCATTGCATCCTTCACGGGGAGAATTCTAGTTTTGCTTTGTAAGAATGTCAGTTGCTCTAAGTTGTGTGCTTCATGACAAAGCTGCCTCAAGCTTCTGTGGTGGATTGCTGTCCAACCAGCTCCAGCCACCTGCAAAACATACTTAGAAGAACATTTAGTATAGGCAATTGAAAGTGAATGCCTTATGAGTTTTATGATTATGGTGTTGGGATTGGGTTGGTTTTAAAGGATGTTTTTGCTGCTGTTTTCTTCTAACTTCCTACAGAACAAATTAAGGAATTTGGAGTTCTGGCTCTGCCTCTTTTTAGCTGACTGGTTTTAGACAAGTCATTTAACCTTTTTGAGCCTGTTTTATTGTGTGCAAAATTTGGATTTAATCCTTACATTACAGTATTGTTGTAAAGATTGAGTTGTTGTATAAGAAATGGTTTGAAAAATATGAATCATATAAATAAAATGATCAGTTAGGATTGAGGATGGAGGATGTAGCTCAGTGGTAGAATGAATGCTTGCCTAGCACACGTGATACCTGAGTTTGATCTCAAGCATTGTCCCCATGTACTTGCACGTGCGTACACACACACACACACAATCTGTTATTTCAGCCCCTTTTCCTATCATCTATGCAAAACTTGACTCCATTTCTCGAAATTCTTCCTCTATCAGCATTTAACTTTTTTCCCCCTCCTCTTTTTCTTTAAGAAATTTAAATACTGTTGAGTGGCCATTATCAATCAGACACTGCTATATAAATAAAATTAAATCTTCACATTTAATGTTTACATTTATAGTAAATTAAAAAAAAAAACTTTCTGTAAAGCTCATAAGAGAAAAACAGTAATGTTCTCCCCCACTCTTCTGAACCTAGGATTCTTGGTTCTCTGAGACAGTCATTTTAATGCCTTTAGTTCTTTCTTTTGATATTTTCCTTGTTCCCAAGTAACATTTTATGTTATTCTTTTTTTAAAAAAAACATTTATTTATTTATGTATCTTTAGTTTTAGGTGGATACATTAGGTTGTTTTTATGTGGGACCGAGGATCGAACCAAATGCCTCATGCATGCTTGGTGTGCACTCTACCACTGAGCCACCGCTCCAGCCCTATTCTTTTTTTTAAAAAAATATTTATTTCTTAGCTTTAGGTGGACACAATATCTTTCTTTTATTTTTATGTGGTGCTGAGGATTGAACCCAGTGCCTCACGCATGCCAGGCAAGCGTGCTACTACTTGAGCGATATCCCCAGCCCCAATTTTATGCTATTCTTCCTTGATTTTTAGTTTTATCTATTTGTCGAATGACTTGCTATTATGAAAGGTGAGGGGTTTGCACTGTTAGATTTTGATACCACCTCTTCATCCTGTCAGGATTTTGTGTCTTAATTTTTTGTTAGATGAGTATTCAGTATTTGCATTATTAAGAAGGTAACTGTTATTTTCAGCTGAGTCAGATAGTATAACTATAATCAAACTTACCTCTTACGCTGTTTTCTTTGCTTTTCTGGGAATTAGTAAATGTCTCATTTCCATTTGCTTTTCTTAAACATACATACCATTGATTCTTGAATTCTCTTACACAAATGTAAGTCTTCTCTCTGTGTTCATACATATCACATTATCAATCAATTTTCTTTAAGTTTTTCTTCCCTGTGAAGCCCTCTTCCCTTGAGCTTGTCATTCTCAAATGTGGGTAGGTTACTTTTGAGGCTAGCTAAGTAGCTGTCATCTTGGGAACTATGTTCACCATTTTAGAGCTTCTATACGCCTCTCTTTTGCTTCATTATATTTTCTGTCATTTGCCATTTTGGTAGGGCATACTTTTGAGATCTAATCTGTCTGAAAATATCTTTATTCACATTTTAGGCCCAATTAAAAGTTTGGTTGGTTATCAAATTCTAGTTTAGATAGATGTGAATCTTTTAAAACTTAACATTTGGTAATGCCAGATTAGGTAATTTGGCCCACTCTGCCCACTGAGGACAAAAAGGTAAGTTAGATGTAAAACAAACTGTGCTTAAAGTAAAATGCTAACAGGACAGTAAAGAATTACCAGCCCAGGATGTGGGAAGCATGAGAAGCCCAGAGAGGTAATCTAGTGTTTGGAGCCATTGTTAGCTAAAACTAGAGAGGGCAGCTGAGAGGAAGAAAAACTGAATGGGAGTTTTAGTAACTTCAAGGGGCTAAAGAAATCGAGCATTTGATGTATCGTGGTGGCTCTGAACCCTTCCTTAGTTTAGTTATGGGCCCAAAATGGACCAGATACAGAATAGATCTTTTTGAAAATACCATTCAGCTTCAGACATTTAAATCACTGAAATCAGTTTAAGGTGATCTTAGAGTGCTGTTCTCCCTGGGCATCTCTAAAGTGCTGGGGCTTCCAGGAAGAAGCAAACTCAAATTTTCTCCAAAGAAGAAAACACCATTTGGGGCTGGGGATGTGGCTCAAGCGGTAGCGCGCTCGCCTGGCATTCGTGTGTCCCGGGTTCAATCCTCAGCACCACATACAAACAAAGATGTTGTGTCTGCCGAGAACTAAGAAAAAAATAAATAAATGTTAAAATTCTCTCTCTCAAAAAAAAAAAAAGAAAACACTATTCTAGGTTTCAACTTAATTCTTCAAATAATTGTGCAAAGGGCTGGGGATGTGGCTCAAGCGGTAGCACGCTTGCCTGGCATGCGTGCGGCCCGGGTTCGATCCTCAGCACCACATACCAACAAAGATGTTGTGTCCGCCAAAAACTAAAAAATAAATATTAAAAAAAATTCTCTCTCTCTCTCTCAAAAAAAAATTAAAAAAAATAATTGTGCAAATACAATGCATAGTACACACTCAGAAACTAACTCTAGATGCACAAGGACACAAGACAACAAGAATGACAAACCGTAGAAACAATAGAAAATAGAAACAGACCTATGACAAATCTAGATATTAGCATTATCCTGCTCAGAGTTTATAATAGTAGTGTTACTAAAATTGAGGGTTTCAAGAAAGAATTGAAAACTAAACAAAAAGTGAAGTGAGGCCTTAAAGATTGAGATCATGATGAACTGGAAGCTATGACAAGAAGAAAATGTCTGGAATGAAGCACAAAACATAGAAAGTGTATATGAAAGCATAAGAGAAAGAGGATGCTATGAGAAGGTGTAACATAAGTATTTTTGGAATCCTTGAAGGAGAAAGAAGAATGAGAATGGGCACAAGTGGTATTTGA